GAGGGGGGCAGGGAGGGTCAAAAGAGGCGGCGAGGGAGCGGGCACGCGGAGGGTAGGGGCGGGGGGAGCGGATGGCATGAGGGGGCAGGGGGTGTGACTATGAAGGGGGGACCCGGGCAAGGGGTGTGTACCGGTCGGGGCACGGGATTGTCGTGGTACGATCATACCTCCGGCTACTACGCCGGATCAGTAGCTGGGCGGAGGCGAGAGTACTGGGCTGGGTGACCTCCCGGGAAGTCCTCGTGTTGTACCCATTTATGCCCCTTGCTCGGCACGTGCCGGGGAGGGGCAAGCGGGAAAAACAAAGGACGATTTTAGCGCGTCCGACTTTTTTATTTCCGTTTTTTTTGCCCGAACAACGAGTCAGCGGGGTGGGGGGCCCCCGGGGAGGCTTGCCCGCGCGCGAAGAAACGCCCCGTGCGCACCACCGTTGGGCGGTTGGAAGCCGCACACGGTCGCGGGGGTGGAGAGCGGAAACGGGCAGCCGGGGGAGGGTGGGGGCGGTTGGACGGGAGTGGGGTGTACGGGGGGCAGGGGAGTTGAGGGGGCAAGGGGAGGGGCAGCAACGGGCAGGGGCTGGGCCAGCTGAGGGCAAGGAAAAGGGGCGGGCAGAGGGTGAGCAGAGGGGCGAGCGATGCAAGGGATGCACCAGAGGGGGGGAATCCAGTTGAACGGAGGTGAGAGGTGAGGGGCGTGCGAGGGGGTGGAACAGGGGCAGGGAGGGGCAGAACGGGAGGATGTGGGTGGGGGGTGGGGGAGGGGAGTGTGTGTGTGTGTGTGTGTGCGAGAGAGAGAGAGAGAGAGAGAGAGAGAGAGAGAGAGAGAGAGAGAGAGGGAGAGAGGGGGGGGGGGGAGAAGGGTGGGAGGGGGGCTGGTGGTGGGGACGGGCTGATGGTGGTAAGAGGGCAGCAGGGATGGGAGAAGGGAGCGTAACGAGGGGAAAGCAAAGGGCAGGGGGGGAGGAAGGGAGGGGCAGGGAGGGAAGAGGGTGAACGTACAAAGAGGGAAACGAGGGGCATGGATGGTAGGAAACAAGGGCAGGGGTGCGGGAAATCAAGGGCAGGGAGGGGAGAAGCAATGGGTGCGGGGAGAACAAGGGAGGGGCAGAGGGGGTACAAGGTGATCTCAGGGAGGGAAGAAAACGTGGGGCAGGGAGGGGAGAAACCAAAGACAGGGGCATGGGCAGGCGGGGGGCAGGGAGGGAGCAAAGGAGAGGCACGGAGAAAGAAAGGGAGGTGCAGGGAGGGAGAAACCCGGGCGTGGGGGGGCGGAAAATGAGGGGCAGGGCGGGGAGGAGGGAGAGGCAGGGAGGGGAGAAGCTGAGCACACGGAGGGGGGAAAGGTGGGCAGGGAGGTGGGAAGCCAAGGCAAGTGGAGGAGAGTGGGGGGGCAGGGAGAGGGGGGAGGTGGGGAGCGGAGAAAGGCGGCGAGGGGCAGGGAGGGGAGAAACCAAGCGTAGGGGGGCGAGAAACGAGGGGCAGGGTGCGGATTGAGGAGGGGCAGGGAGTGGAGTGGGTTAGCGAGGGGAAGGAAGAGGCGTGCAGCAGAGGAGGGGAGGGGGGAGGCGAAGGTAAACGAGGGGAGGGCACGGGCGGGGAGGAGCGAATGGCGATGCGGTGGGTAACGGCGAGGGGGGCAGGGAGGGTCAAAAGAGGCGGCGAGGGAGCGGGCACGCGGAGGGTAGGGGCGGGGGGAGCGGATGGCATGAGGGGGCAGGGGGTGTGACTATGAAGGGGGGACCCGAGCAAGGGGTGTGTACCGGTCGGGGCACGGGATTGTCGTGGTACGATCATACCTCGGCTACTACGCCGGATCCCATCAGAACTCCGAAGCTAATCGCCGGTGGGCGAGAGCAGTACTGGGCTGGGTGACCTCCCGGGAAGTCCTCGTGTTGTACCCATTTATGCCCCTTGCTCGGCACGTGCCGGGGAGGGGCAAGCGGGAAAAAGAAAGGACGAGTTTTAGCGCGTCCGACTTTTTTATTTCCGTTTTTTTGCCGAACAACGAAGTCAGCGGGGTTGGGGGGCCCCCGGGGAGGCTTGCCCGCGCGAAGAAACGCCCCGTGCGCACCACCGTTGGGCGGTTGGAAGCCGCACACGGTCGCGGGGGTGGAGAGCGGAAACGGGCAGCCGGGGGAGGGTGGGGGCGGTTGGACGGGAGTGGGGTGTACGGGGGGCAGGGGAGTTGAGGGGGCAAGGGGAGGGGCAGCAACGGGCAGGGGCTGGGCCAGCTGAGGGCAAGGAAAAGGGGCGGGCAGAGGGTGAGCAGAGGGGCGAGCGATGCAAGGGATGCACCAGAGGGGGGGAATCCAGTTGAACGGAGGTGAGAGGTGAGGGGCGTGCGAGGGGGTGGAACAGGGGCAGGGAGGGGCAGAACGGGAGGATGTGGGTGGGGGGTGGGGGAGGGGAGTGTGTGTGTGTGTGTGTGTGCGAGAGAAAGAGAGAGAGAGAGAGAGAGAGGAGAGAGATAGAGAGAGAGGAGAGAGAGAGGGAGAGGGGGGGGGGAGAAGGGTGGGAGGGGGGCTGGTGGTGGGACGGGCTGATGGTGGTAAGAGGGCAGCAGGGGATGGGGAGAAGGGAGCGTAACGAGGGGAAAGCAAAGGGCAGGGGGGGAGAAACCAAGCATAGGGGGGCGAGAAACGAGGGGCAGGGTGCGGATTGAGGAGGGGCAGGGAGTGGAGTGGGTTAGCGAGGGGAAGGAAGAGGCGTGCAGCAGAGGAGGGGAGGGGGGAGGCGAAGGTAAACGAGGGGAGGGCACGGGCGGGGAGGATGCGAAATGGCGAGCGGTGGGTAACGGCGGAGGGGGGCAGGGAGGGTCAAAAGAGGCGGCGAGGGAGCGGGCACGCGGAGGGTAGGGGCGGGGGGAGCGTGATGGCATGAGGGGCAGGGGGTGTGACTATGAAGGGGGGACCCGGGCAAGGGGTGTGTACCGGTCGGGGCACGGATTGTCGTGGTACGATCATACCTCGGCTACTACGCCGGATCCCATCAGAACTCCGAAGCTAAGCGCCGGTGGGCGAGAGCAGTACTGGGCTGGGTGACCTCCCGGGAAGTCCTCGTGTTGTACCCATTTATGCCCCTTGCTCGGCACGTGCCGGGGAGGGGCAAGCGGGAAAAACAAAGGACGATTTTAGCGCGTCCGACTTTTTTATTTCCGTTTTTTTTGCCCGAACAACGAGTCAGCGGGGTGGGGGGCCCCCGGGGAGGCTTGCCCGCGCGAAGAAACGCCCCGTGCGCACCACCGTTGGGCGGTTGGAAGCCGCACACGGTCGCGGGGGGTGGAGAGCGGAAACGGGCAGCCGGGGGAGGGTGGGGGCGGTTGGACGGGAGTGGGGTGTACGGGGGGCAGGGGAGTTGAGGGGGCAAGGGGAGGGGCAGCAACGGGCAGGGGCTGGGCCAGCTGAGGGCAAGGAAAAGGGGCGGGCAGAGGGTGAGCAGAGGGGCGAGCGATGCAAGGGATGCACCAGAGGGGGGGAATCCAGTTGAACGGAGGTGAGAGGTGAGGGGCGTGCGAGGGGGTGGAACAGGGGCAGGGAGGGGCAGAACGGGAGGATGTGGGTGGGGGGTGGGGGAGGGGAGTGTGTGTGTGTGTGTGTGTGCGAGAGAAAGAGAGAGAGAGAGAGAGAGAGAGGGAGAGGGGGGGGGGGAGAAGGGTGGGAGGGGGGCTGGTGGTGGGGACGGGCTGATGGTGGTAAGAGGGCAGCAGGGATGGGGAGAAGGGAGCGTAACGAGGGGAAAGCAAAGGGCAGGGGGGGAGGAAGGGAGGGGCAGGGAGGGAAGAGGGTGAACGTACAAAGAGGGGAAACGAGGGGGCATGGATGGTAGGAAACAAGGGCAGGGGGTGCGGGAAATCAAGGGCAGGGAGGGGAGAAGCAATGGGTGCGGGGAGAACAAGGGAGGGGCAGAGGGGGTACAAGGTGATCTCAGGGAGGGAAGAAACGTGGGGCAGGGAGGGAGAAACCAAAGACAGGGGCATGGGCAGGCGGGGGCAGGGAGGGAGCAAAGGAGAGCACGGAGAAAGAAAGGGAGGTGCAGGGAGGGGAGAAACCGGGCGTGGGGGGGGCGGAAAATGAGGGGCAGGGCGGGGAGGAGGGAGAGGCAGGGAGGGGAGAAGCTGAGCACACGGAGGGGGGAAAGGTGGGGCAGGGAGGTGGGAAGCCAAGGGCAAGTGGAGGAGAGTGGGGGGCAGGGAGAGGGGGGGAGGTGGGGAGCGGAGAAAGGCGGCGAGGGGCAGGGAGGGGAGAAACCAAGCGTAGGGGGGCGAGAAACGAGGGGCAGGGTGCGGATTGAGGAGGGGCAGGGAGTGGAGTGGGTTAGCGAGGGGAAGGAAGAGGCGTGCAGCAGAGGAGGGGAGGGGGGAGGCGAAGGTAAACGAGGGGAGGGCACGGGCGGGGAGGAGCGAATGGCGAGCGGTGGGTAACGGCGAGGGGGGCAGGGAGGGTCAAAAGAGGCGGCGAGGGAGCGGGCACGCGGAGGGTAGGGGCGGGGGGAGCGGATGGCATGAGGGGGCAGGGGGTGTGACTATGAAGGGGGGACCCGAGGCAAGGGGTGTGTACCGGTCGGGGCACGGGATTGTCGTGGTACGATCATACCTCGGCTACTACGCCGGATCCCATCAGAACTCCGAAGCTAAGCGCCGGTGGGCGAGAGCAGTACTGGGCTGGGTGACCTCCCGGGAAGTCCTCGTGTTGTACCCATTTATGCCCCTTGCTCGGCACGTGCCGGGGAGGGGCAAGCGGGAAAAACAAAGGACGATTTTAGCGCGTCCGACTTTTTTATTTCCGTTTTTTTGCCCGAACAACGAGTCAGCGGGGTGGGGGGCCCCCGGGGAGGCTTGCCCGCGCGAAGAAACGCCCCGTGCGCACCACCGTTGGGCGGTTGGAAGCCGCACACGGTCGCGGGGGGTGGAGAGCGGAAACGGGCAGCCGGGGGAGGGTGGGGGCGGTTGGACGGGAGTGGGGTGTACGGGGGGCAGGGGAGTTGAGGGGGCAAGGGGAGGGCAGCAACGGGCAGGGGCTGGGCCAGCTGAGGGCAAGGAAAAGGGGCGGGCAGAGGGTGAGCAGAGGGGCGAGCGATGCAAGGGATGCACCAGAGGGGGGGAATCCAGTTGAACGGAGGTGAGAGGTGAGGGGCGTGCGAGGGGGTGGAACAGGGGCAGGGAGGGGCAGAACGGGAGGATGTGGGTGGGGGGTGGGGGAGGGGAGTGTGTGTGTGTGTGTGTGTGCGAGAGAAAGAGAGAGAGAGAGAGAGAGAGAGAGAGGGAGAGAGGGGGGGGGGGGGAGAAGGGTGGGAGGGGGGCTGGTGGTGGGGACGGGCTGATGGTGGTAAGAGGGCAGCAGGGATGGGGAGAAGGGAGCGTAACGAGGGGAAAGCAAAGGGCAGGGGGGGAGGAAGGGAGGGGCAGGGAGGGAAGAGGGTGAACGTACAAAGAGGGGAAACGAGGGGCATGGATGGTAGGAAACAAGGGCAGGGGTGCGGGAAATCAAGGGCAGGGAGGGGAGAAGCAATGGGTGCGGGGAGAACAAGGGAGGGGCAGAGGGGGTACAAGGTGATCTCAGGGAGGGAAGAAACGTGGGGCAGGGAGGGGAGAAACCAAAGACAGGGGCATGGGCAGGCGGGGGCAGGGAGGGAGCAAAGGAGAGGCACGGAGAAAGAAAGGGAGGTGCAGGGAGGGGAGAAACCGGGCGTGGGGGGGCGAGAAATGAGGGGCAGGGCGGGGAGGAGGGAGAGGCAGGGAGGGGAGAAGCTGAGTACACGGAGGGGGAAAGGTGGGGCAGGGAGGTGGGAAGCCAAGGGCAAGTGGAGGAGAGTGGGGGGGCAGGGAGAGGGGGGAGGTGGGAGCGGAGAAGGCGGCGAGGGGCAGGGAGGGGAGAAACCAAGCGTAGGGGGGCGAGAAACGAGGGGCAGGGTGCGGATTGAGGAGGGGCAGGGAGTGGAGTGGGTTAGCGAGGGGAAGGAAGAGGCGGTGCAGCAGAGGAGGGGAGGGGGGAGGCGAAGGTAAACGAGGGGAGGGCACGGGCGGGGAGGAGCGAATGGCGAGCGGTGGGTAACGGCGAGGGGGGCAGGGAGGGTCAAAAGAGGCGGCGAGGGAGCGGGCACGCGGAGGGTAGGGGCGGGGGGAGCGGATGGCATGAGGGGGCAGGGGTGTGACTATGAAGGGGGGACCCGGGCAAGGGGTGTGTACCGGTCGGGGCACGGGATTGTCGTGGTACGATCATACCTCGGCTACTACGCCGGATCCCATCAGAACTCCGAAGCTAAGCGCCGGTGGGCGAGAGCAGTACTGGGCTGGGTGACCTCCCGGGAAGTCCTCGTGTTGTACCCATTTATGCCCCTTGCTCGGCACGTGCCGGGGAGGGGCAAGCGGGAAAAACAAAGGACGATTTTAGCGCGTCCGACTTTTTTATTTCCGTTTTTTTTGCCCGAACAACGAGTCAGCGGGGTGGGGGGCCCCCGGGGAGGCTTGCCCGCGCGAAGAAACGCCCCGTGCGCACCACCGTTGGGCGGTTGGAAGCCGCACACGGTCGCGGGGGTGGAGAGCGGAAACGGGCAGCCGGGGGAGGGTGGGGGCGGTTGGACGGGAGTGGGGTGTACGGGGGGCAGGGGAGTTGAGGGGGCAAGGGGAGGGGCAGCAACGGGCAGGGGCTGGCCAGCTGAGGGCAAGGAAAAGGGGCGGGCAGAGGGTGAGCAGAGGGGCGAGCGATGCAAGGGATGCACCAGAGGGGGGGAATCCAGTTGAACGGAGGTGAGAGGTGAGGGGCGTGCGAGGGGGTGGAACAGGGGCAGGGAGGGGCAGAACGAGAGGATGTGGGTGGGGGGGTGGGGGAGGGGAGTGTGTGTGTGTGTGTGTGTGCGAGAGAAAGAGAGAGAGAGAGAGAGAGAGAGGGAGAGGGGGGGGGGGAGAAGGGTGGGAGGGGGGCTGGTGGTGGGGACGGGCTGATGGTGGTAAGAGGGCAGCAGGGATGGGGAGAAGGGAGCGTAACGAGGGGAAAGCAAAGGGCAGGGGGGGAGGAAGGGAGGGGCAGGGAGGGAAGAGGGTGAACGTACAAAGAGGGGAAACGAGGGGCATGGATGGTAGGAAACAAGGGCAGGGGTGCGGGAAATCAAGGCAGGGAGGGGAGAAGCAATGGGTGCGGGGAGAACAAGGGAGGGGCAGAGGGGGTACAAGGTGATCTCAGGGAGGGAAGAAACGTGGGGCAGGAGGGGAGAAACCAAAGACAGGGGCATGGGCAGGCGGGGGCAGGGAGGGAGCAAAGGAGAGGCACGGAGAAAGAAAGGGAGGTGCAGGGAGGGGAGAAACCGGGCGTGGGGGGCGGAAAATGAGGGGCAGGGCGGGGAGGAGGGAGAGGCAGGGAGGGGAGAAGCTGAGCACACGGAGGGGGGAAAGGTGGGGCAGGGAGGTGGGAAGCCAAGGGCAAGTGGAGGAGAGTGGGGGGGGCAGGGAGAGGGGGGAGGTGGGGAGCGGAGAAAGGCGGCGAGGGGCAGGGAGGGGAGAAACCAAGCGTAGGGGGGCGAGAAACGAGGGGCAGGGTGCGGATTGAGGAGGGGCAGGGAGTGGAGTGGGTTAGCGAGGGGAAGGAAGAGGCGTGCAGCAGAGGAGGGGAGGGGGGAGGCGAAGGTAAACGAGGGGAGGGCACGGGCGGGGAGGAGCGAATGGCGAGCGTGGGGTAACGGCGAGGGGGGCAGGGAGGGTCAAAAGAGGCGGCGAGGGAGCGGGCACGCGGAGGGTAGGGGCGGGGGGAGCGGATGGCATGAGGGGGCAGGGGGTGTGACTATGAAGGGGGGACCCGGGCAAGGGGTGTGTACCGGTCGGGGCACGGGATTGTCGTGGTACGATCATACCTCGGCTACTACGCCGGATCCCATCAGAACTCCGAAGCTAAGCGCCGGTGGGCGAGAGCAGTACTGGGCTGGGTGACCTCCCGGGAAGTCCTCGTGTTGTACCCATTTATGCCCCTTGCTCGGCACGTGCCGGGGAGGGGCAAGCGGGAAAAACAAAGGACGATTTTAGCGCGTCCGACTTTTTTATTTCCGTTTTTTTTGCCCGAACAACGAGTCAGCGGGGTGGGGGGCCCCCGGGGAGGCTTGCCCGCGCGAAGAAACGCCCCGTGCGCACCACCGTTGGGCGGTTGGAAGCCGCACACGGTCGCGGGGGTGGAGAGCGGAAACGGGCAGCCGGGGGAGGGTGGGGGCGGTTGGACGGGAGTGGGTGTACGGGGGGCAGGGGAGTTGAGGGGGCAAGGGGAGGGGCAGCAACGGGCAGGGGCTGGGCCAGCTGAGGGCAAGGAAAAGGGGCGGGCAGAGGGTGAGCAGAGGGGCGAGCGATGCAAGGGATGCACCAGAGGGGGGGAATCCAGTTGAACGGAGGTGAGAGGTGAGGGGCGTGCGAGGGGGTGGAACAGGGGCAGGGAGGGGCAGAACGGGAGGATGTGGGTGGGGGGGTGGGGGAGGGGAGTGTGTGTGTGTGTGTGTGTGCGAGAGAAAGAGAGAGAGGAGAGAGAGGAGAGAGAGAGGGAGAGGGAGGGGGGGGGAGAAGGGTGGGAGGGGGGCTGGTGGTGGGGACGGGCTGATGGTGGTAAGAGGGCAGCAGGGATGGGGAGAAGGGAGCGTAACGAGGGGAAAGCAAAGGGCAGGGGGGGAGGAAGGGAGGGGCAGGGAGGGAAGAGGGTGAACGTACAAAGAGGGGAAACGAGGGGCATGGATGGTAGGAAACAAGGGCAGGGGTGCGGGAAATCAAGGGCAGGGAGGGGAGAAGCAATGGGTGCGGGGAGAACAAGGGAGGGGCAGAGGGGGTACAAGGTGATCTCAGGGAGGGAAGAAAACGTGGGGCAGGGAGGGGAGAAACCAAAGACAGGGGCATGGGCAGGCGGGGGCAGGGAGGGAGCAAAGGAGAGGCACGGAGAAAGAAAGGGAGGTGCAGGGAGGGGAGAAACCGGGCGTGGGGGGGCGGAAAATGAGGGGCAGGGCGGGAGGAGGGAGAGGCAGGGAGGGGAGAAGCTGAGCACACGGAGGGGGGAAAGGTGGGGCAGGGAGGTGGGAAGCCAAGGGCAAGTGGAGGAGAGTGGGGGGGCAGGGAGAGGGGGGAGGTGGGGAGCGGAGAAAGGCGGCGAGGGGCAGGGAGGGGAGAAACCAAGCGTAGGGGGGCGAGAAACGAGGGGCAGGGTGCGGATTGAGGAGGGGCAGGGAGTGGAGTGGGTTAGCGAGGGGAAGGAAGAGGCGTGCAGCAGAGGAGGGGAGGGGGGAGGCGAAGGTAAACGAGGGGAGGGCACGGGCGGGGAGGAGCGAATGGCGAGCGGTGGGTAACGGCGAGGGGGGCAGGGAGGGTCAAAAGAGGCGGCGATGGGAGCGGGCACGCGGAGGGTAGGGGCGGGGGGAGCGGATGGCATGAGGGGGCAGGGGGTGTGACTATGAAGGGGGGACCCGGGCAAGGGGTGTGTACCGGTCGGGGCACGGGATTGTCGTGGTACGATCATACCTCGGCTACTACGCCGGATCCCATCAGAACTCCGAAGCTAAGCGCCGGTGGGCGAGAGCAGTACTGGGCTGGGTGACCTCCCGGGAAGTCCTCGTGTTGTACCCATTTATGCCCCTTGCTCGGCACGTGCCGGGGAGGGGCAAGCGGGAAAAACAAAGGACGATTTTAGCGCGTCCGACTTTTTTATTTCCGTTTTTTTGCCCGAACAACGAGTCAGCGGGGTGGGGGGCCCCCGGGGAGGCTTGCCCGCGCGAAGAAACGCCCCGTGCGCACCACCGTTGGGCGGTTGGAAGCCGCACACGGTCGCGGGGGTGGAGAGCGGAAACGGGCAGCCGGGGGAGGGTGGGGGCGGTTGGACGGGAGTGGGGTGTACGGGGGGCAGGGGAGTTGAGGGGGCAAGGGGAGGGGCAGCAACGGGCAGGGGCTGGGCCAGCTGAGGGCAAGGAAAAGGGGCGGGCAGAGGGTGAGCAGAGGGGCGAGCGATGCAAGGGATGCACCAGAGGGGGGGAATCCAGTTGAACGGAGGTGAGAGGTGAGGGGCGTGCGAGGGGGTGGAACAGGGGCAGGGAGGGGCAGAACGGGAGGATGTGGGTGGGGGGTGGGGGAGGGGAGTGTGTGTGTGTGTGTGTGTGCGAGAGAAAGAGAGAGAGAGAGAGAGAGAGAGTGAGAGAGATAGAGAGAGAGAGAGAGAGAGAGAGGGAGAGGGGGGGGGGGAGAAGGGTGGGAGGGGGGCTGGTGGTGGGGACGGGCTGATGGTGGTAAGAGGGCAGCAGGGATGGGGAGAAGGGAGCGTAACGAGGGGAAAGCAAAGGGCAGGGGGGGAGAAACCAAGCATAGGGGGGCGAGAAACGAGGGGCAGGGTGCGGATTGAGGAGGGGCAGGGAGTGGAGTGGGTTAGCGAGGGGAAGGAAGAGGCGTGCAGCAGAGGAGGGGAGGGGGGAGGCGAAGGTAAACGAGGGGAGGGCACGGGCGGGGAGGAGCGAATGGCGAGCGGTGGGTAACGGCGAGGGGGGCAGGGAGGGTCAAAAGAGGCGGCGAGGGAGCGGGCACGCGGAGGGTAGGGGCGGGGGGGAGCGGATGGCATGAGGGGGCAGGGGGTGTGACTATGAAGGGGGGACCCGAGCAAGGGGTGTGTACCGGTCGGGGCACGGGATTGTCGTGGTACGATCATACCTCGGCTACTACGCCGGATCCCATCAGAACTCCGAAGCTAAGCGCCGGTGGGCGAGAGCAGTACTGGGCTGGGTGACCTCCCGGGAAGTCCTCGTGTTGTACCCATTTATGCCCCTTGCTCGGCACGTGCCGGGGAGGGGCAAGCGGGAAAAACAAAGGACGATTTTAGCGCGTCCGACTTTTTTATTTCCGTTTTTTTGCCCGAACAACGAGTCAGCGGGGTGGGGGGCCCCCGGGGAGGCTTGCCCGCGCGAAGAAACGCCCCGTGCGCACCACCGTTGGGCGGTTGGAAGCCGCACACGGTCGCGGGGGTGGAGAGCGGAAACGGGCAGCCGGGGGAGGGTGGGGGCGGTTGGACGGGAGTGGGGTGTACGGGGGGCAGGGGAGTTGAGGGGGCAAGGGGAGGGGCAGCAACGGGCAGGGGCTGGGCCAGCTGAGGGCAAGGAAAAGGGGCGGGCAGAGGGTGAGCAGAGGGGCGAGCGATGCAAGGGATGCACCAGAGGGGGGGAATCCAGTTGAACGGAGGTGAGAGGTGAGGGGCGTGCGAGGGGGTGGAAACAGGGGCAGGGAGGGGCAGAACGGGAGGATGTGGGTGGGGGGTGGGGGAGGGGAGTGTGTGTGTGTGTGTGTGTGCGAGAGAAAGAGAGAGAGAGAGAGAGAGTGAGAGAGATAGAGAGAGAGAGAGAGGGAGGGGGGGGGGGAGAAGGGTGGGAGGGGGGCTGGTGGTGGGGACGGGCTGATGGTGGTAAGAGGGCAGCAGGGATGGGGAGAAGGGAGCGTAACGAGGGGAAAGCAAAGGGCAGGGGGGGAGGAAGGGAGGGGCAGGGAGGGAAGAGGGTGAACGTACAAAGAGGGGAAACGAGGGGCATGGATGGTAGGAAACAAGGGCAGGGGTGCGGGAAATCAAGGGCAGGGAGGGGAGAAGCAATGGGTGCGGGGAGAACAAGGGAGGGGCAGAGGGGGTACAAGGTGATCTCAGGGAGGGAAGAAACGTGGGGCAGGGAGGGGAGAAACCAAAGACAGGGGCATGGGCAGGCGGGGGCAGGGAGGGAGCAAAGGAGAGGCACGGAGAAAGAAAGGGAGGTGCAGGGAGGGGAGAAACCGGGCGTGGGGGGGCGGAAAATGAGGGGCAGGGCGGGGAGGAGGGAGAGGCAGGGAGGGGAGAAGCTGAGCACACGGAGGGGGGAAAGGTGGGGCAGGGAGGTGGGAAGCCAAGGGCAAGTGGAGGAGAGTGGGGGGGCAGGGAGAGGGGGGAGGTGGGGAGCGGAGAAAGGCGGCGAGGGGCAGGGAGGGGAGAAACCAAGCGTAGGGGGGCGAGAAACGAGGGGCAGGGTGCGGATTGAGGAGGGGCAGGGAGTGGAGTGGGTTAGCGAGGGGAAGGAAGAGGCGTGCAGCAGAGGAGGGGAGGGGGGAGGCGAAGGTAAACGAGGGGAGGGCACGGGCGGGGAGGAGCGAATGGCGAGCGGTGGGTAACGGCGAGGGGGGCAGGGAGGGTCAAAAGAGGCGGCGAGGGAGCGGGCACGCGGAGGGTAGGGGCGGGGGGAGCGGATGGCATGAGGGGGCAGGGGGTGTGGACTATGAAGGGGGGACCCGGGCAAGGGGTGTGTACCGGTCGGGGCACGGGATTGTCGTGGTACGATCATACCTCGGCTACTACGCCGGATCCCATCAGAACTCCGAAGCTAAGCGCCGGTGGGCGAGAGCAGTACTGGGCTGGGTGACCTCCCGGGAAGTCCTCGTGTTGTACCCATTTATGCCCCTTGCTCGGCACGTGCCGGGGAGGGGCAAGCGGGAAAAACAAAGGACGATTTTAGCGCGTCCGACTTTTTTATTTCCGTTTTTTTGCTCCGAACAACGAGTCAGCGGGGTGGGGGGCCCCCGGGGAGGCTTGCCCGCGCGAAGAAACGCCCCGTGCGCACCACCGTTGGGCGGTTGGAAGCCGCACACGGTCGCGGGGGTGGAGAGCGGAAACGGGCAGCCGGGGGAGGGTGGGGGCGGTTGGACGGGAGTGGGGTGTACGGGGGGCAGGGGAGTTGAGGGGGCAAGGGGAGGGGCAGCAACGGGCAGGGGCTGGGCCAGCTGAGGGCAAGGAAAAGGGGCGGGCAGAGGGTGAGCAGAGGGGCGAGCGATGCAAGGGATGCACCAGAGGGGGGGAATCCAGTTGAACGGAGGTGAGAGGTGAGGGGCGTGCGAGGGGGTGGAACAGGGGCAGGGAGGGGCAGAACGGGAGGATGTGGGTGGGGGGTGGGGGAGGGGAGTGTGTGTGTGTGTGTGTGTGCGAGAGAAAGAGAGAGAGAGAGAGAGAGAGAGTGAGAGAGATAGAGAGAGAGAGAGAGAGAGAGGGAGAGGGGGGGGGGGAGAAGGGTGGGAGGGGGGCTGGTGGTGGGGACGGGCTGATGGTGGTAAGAGGGCAGCAGGGATGGGGAGAAGGGAGCGTAACGAGGGGAAAGCAAAGGGCAGGGGGGGAGAAACCAAGCATAGGGGGGCGAGAAACGAGGGGCAGGGTGCGGATTGAGGAGGGGCAGGGAGTGGAGTGGGTTAGCGAGGGGAAGGAAGAGGCGTGCAGCAGAGGAGGGGAGGGGGGAGGCGAAGGTAAACGAGGGGAGGGCACGGGCGGGGAGGAGCGAATGGCGAGCGGTGGGTAACGGCGAGGGGGGCAGGGAGGGTCAAAAGAGGCGGCGAGGGAGCGGGCACGCGGAGGGTAGGGGCGGGGGGAGCGGATGGCATGAGGGGGCAGGGGGTGTGACTATGAAGGGGGGACCCGGGCAAGGGGTGTGTACCGGTCGGGGCACGGGATTGTCGTGGTACGATCATACCTCGGCTACTACGCCGGATCCCATCAGAACTCCGAAGCTAAGCGCCGGTGGGCGAGAGCAGTACTGGGCTGGGTGACCTCCCGGGAAGTCCTCGTGTTGTACCCATTTATGCCCCTTGCTCGGCACGTGCCGGGGAGGGGCAAGCGGGAAAAACAAAGGACGATTTTAGCGCGTCCGACTTTTTTATTTCCGTTTTTTTTTGCCCGAACAACGAGTCAGCGGGGTGGGGGGCCCCCGGGGAGGCTTGCCCGCGCGAAGAAACGCCCCGTGCGCACCACCGTTGGGCGGTTGGAAGCCGCACACGGTCGCGGGGGTGGAGAGCGGAAACGGGCAGCCGGGGGAGGGTGGGGGCGGTTGGACGGGAGTGGGGTGTACGGGGGGCAGGGGAGTTGAGGGGGCAAGGGGAGGGGCAGCAACGGGCAGGGGCTGGGCCAGCTGAGGGCAAGGAAAAGGGGCGGGCAGAGGGTGAGCAGAGGGTGCGAGCGATGCAAGGGATGCACCAGAGGGGGGGAATCCAGTTGAACGGAGGTGAGAGGTGAGGGGCGTGCGAGGGGGTGGAACAGGGGCAGGGAGGGGCAGAACGGGAGGATGTGGGTGGGGGGTGGGGGAGGGGAGTGTGTGTGTGTGTGTGTGTGTGCGAGAGAAAGAGAGAGAGAGAGAGAGAGAGTGAGAGAGATAGAGAGAGAGAGAGAGAGAGAGAGGGAGAGGGGGGGGGGGAGAAGGGTGGGAGGGGGGCTGGTGGTGGGGACGGGCTGATGGTGGTAAGAGGGCAGCAGGGATGGGGAGAAGGGAGCGTAACGAGGGGAAAGCAAAGGGCAGGGGGGGAGAAACCAAGCATAGGGGGGCGAGAAACGAGGGGCAGGGTGCGGATTGAGGAGGGGCAGGGAGTGGAGTGGGTTAGCGAGGGGAAGGAAGAGGCGTGCAGCAGAGGAGGGGAGGGGGGAGGCGAAGGTAAACGAGGGGAGGGCACGGGCGGGGAGGAGCGAATGGCGAGCGGTGGGTAACGGCGAGGGGGGCAGGGAGGGTCAAAAGAGGCGGCGAGGGAGCGGGCACGCGGAGGGTAGGGGCGGGGGGAGCGGATGGCATGAGGGGGCAGGGGGTGTGACTATGAAGGGGGGACCCGGGCAAGGGGTGTGTACCGGTCGGGGCACGGGATTGTCGTGGTACGATCATACCTCGGCTACTACGCCGGATCCCATCAGAACTCCGAAGCTAAGCGCCGGTGGGCGAGAGCAGTACTGGGCTGGGTGACCTCCCGGGAAGTCCTCGTGTTGTACCCATTTATGCCCCTTGCTCGGCACGTGCCGGGGAGGGGCAAGCGGGAAAAACAAAGGACGATTTTAGCGCGTCCGACTTTTTTATTTCCGTTTTTTTTGCCCCGAACAACGAGTCAGCGGGGTGGGGGGCCCCCGGGGAGGCTTGCCCGCGCGAAGAAACGCCCCGTGCGCACCACCGTTGGGCGGTTGGAAGCCGCACACGGTCGCGGGGGTGGAGAGCGGAAACGGGCAGCCGGGGGAGGGTGGGGGCGGTTGGACGGGAGTGGGGTGTACGGGGGGCAGGGGAGTTGAGGGGGCAAGGGGAGGGGCAGCAACGGGCAGGGGCTGGGCCAGCTGAGGGCAAGGAAAAGGGGCGGGCAGAGGGTGAGCAGAGGGGCGAGCGATGCAAGGGATGCACCAGAGGGGGGGAATCCAGTTGAACGGAGGTGAGAGGTGAGGGGCGTGCGAGGGGGTGGAACAGGGGCAGGGAGGGGCAGAACGGGAGGATGTGGGTGGGGGGTGGGGGAGGGGAGTGTGTGTGTGTGTGTGTGTGCGAGAGAAAGAGAGAGAGAGAGAGAGAGAGTGAGAGAGATAGAGAGAGAGAGAGAGAGAGGGAGAGGGGGGGGGGGAGAAGGGTGGGAGGGGGGCTGGTGGTGGGGACGGGCTGATGGTGGTAAGAGGGCAGCAGGGATGGGGAGAAGGGAGCGTAACGAGGGGAAAGCAAAGGGCAGGGGGGGAGAAACCAAGCATAGGGGGGCGAGAAACGAGGGGCAGGGTGCGGATTGAGGAGGGGCAGGGAGTGGAGTGGGTTAGCGAGGGGAAGGAAGAGGCGTGCAGCAGAGGAGGGGAGGGGGGAGGCGAAGGTAAACGAGGGGAGGGCACGGGCGGGGAGGAGCGAATGGCGAGCGGTGGGTAACGGCGAGGGGGGCAGGGAGGGTCAAAAGAGGCGGCGAGGGAGCGGGCACGCGGAGGGTAGGGGCGGGGGGAGCGGATGGCATGAGGGGGCAGGGGGTGTGACTATGAAGGGGGGACCCGGGCAAGGGGTGTGTACCGGTCGGGGCACGGGATTGTCGTGGTACGATCATACCTCGGCTACTACGCCGGATCCCATCAGAACTCCGAAGCTAAGCGCCGGTGGGCGAGAGCAGTACTGGGCTGGGTGACCTCCCGGGAAGTCCTCGTGTTGTACCCATTTATGCCCCTTGCTCGGCACGTGCCGGGGAGGGGCAAGCGGGAAAAACAAAGGACGATTTTAGCGCGTCCGACTTTTTTATTTCCGTTTTTTTTGCCCGAACAACGAGTCAGCGGGGTGGGGGGCCCCCGGGGAGGCTTGCCCGCGCGAAGAAACGCCCCGTGCGCACCACCGTTGGGCGGTTGGAAGCCGCACACGGTCGCGGGGGTGGAGAGCGGAAACGGGCAGCCGGGGGAGGGTGGGGGCGGTTGGACGGGAGTGGGGTGTACGGGGGGCAGGGGAGTTGAGGGGGCAAGGGGAGGGGCAGCAACGGGCAGGGGCTGGGCCAGCTGAGGGCAAGGAAAAGGGGCGGGCAGAGGGTGAGCAGAGGGGCGAGCGATGCAAGGGATGCACCAGAGGGGGGGAATCCAGTTGAACGGAGGTGAGAGGTGAGGGGCGTGCGAGGGGGTGGAACAGGGGCAGGGAGGGGCAGAACGGGAGGATGTGGGTGGGGGGTGGGGGAGGGGAGTGTGTGTGTGTGTGTGTGTGCGAGAGAAAGAGAGAGAGAGAGAGAGAGAGAGAGGGAGAGGGGGGGGGGGAGAAGGGTGGGAGGGGGGCTGGTGGTGGGGACGGGCTGATGGTGGTAAGAGGGCAGCAGGGATGGGGAGAAGGGAGCGTAACGAGGGGAAAGCAAAGGGCAGGGGGGGAGGAAGGGAGGGGCAGGGAGGGAAGAGGGTGAACGTACAAAGAGGGGAAACGAGGGGCATGGATGGTAGGAAACAAGGGCAGGGGTGCGGGAAATCAAGGGCAGGGAGGGGAGAAGCAATGGGTGCGGGGAGAACAAGGGAGGGGCAGAGGGGGTACAAGGTGATCTCAGGGAGGGAAGAAACGTGGGGCAGGGAGGGGAGAAACCAAAGACAGGGGCATGGGCAGGCGGGGGCAGGGAGGGAGCAAAGGAGAGGCACGGAGAAAGAAAGGGAGGTGCAGGGAGGGGAGAAACCGGGCGTGGGGGGGCGGAAAATGAGGGGCAGGGCGGGGAGGAGGGAGAGGCAGGGAGGGGAGAAGCTGAGCACACGGAGGGGGGAAAGGTGGGGCAGGGAGGTGGGAAGCCAAGGGCAAGTGGAGGAGAGTGGGGGGGCAGGGAGAGGGGGGAGGTGGGGAGCGGAGAAAGGCGGCGAGGGGCAGGGAGGGGAGAAACCAAGCGTAGGGGGGCGAGAAACGAGGGGCAGGGTGCGGATTGAGGAGGGGCAGGGAGTGGAGTGGGTTAGCGAGGGGAAGGAAGAGGCGTGCAGCAGAGGAGGGGAGGGGGGAGGCGAAGGTAAACGAGGGGAGGGCACGGGCGGGGAGGAGCGAATGGCGAGCGGTGGGTAACGGCGAGGGGGGCAGGGAGGGTCAAAAGAGGCGGCGAGGGAGCGGGCACGCGGAGGGTAGGGGCGGGGGGAGCGGATGGCATGAGGGGGCAGGGGGGTGTGACTATGAAGGGGGGACCCGAGCAAGGGGTGTGTACCGGTCGGGGCACGGGATTGTCGTGGTACGATCATACCTCGGCTACTACGCCGGATCCCATCAGAACTCCGAAGCTAATCGCCGGTGGGCGAGAGCAGTACTGGGCTGGGTGACCTCCCGGGAAGTCCTCGTGTTGTACCCATTTATGCCCCTTGCTCGGCACGTGCCGGGGAGGGGCAAGCGGGAAAAACAAAGGACGATTTTAGCGCGTCCGACTTTTTTATTTCCGTTTTTTTTGCCCGAACAACGAGTCAGCGGGGTGGGGGGCCCCCGGGGAGGCTTGCCCGCGCGAAGAAACGCCCCGTGCGCACCACCGTTGGGCGGTTGGAAGCCGCACACGGTCGCGGGGGTGGAGAGCGGAAACGGGCAGCCGGGGGAGGGTGGGGGCGGTTGGACGGGAGTGGGGTGTACGGGGGGCAGGGGAGTTGAGGGGGCAAGGGGAGGGGCAGCAACGGGCAGGGGCTGGGCCAGCTGAGGGCAAGGAAAAGGGGCGGGCAGAGGGTGAGCAGAGGGGCGAGCGATGCAAGGGATGCACCAGAGGGGGGGAATCCAGTTGAACGGAGGTGAGAGGTGAGGGGCGTGCGAGGGGGTGGAACAGGGGCAGGGAGGGGCAGAACGGGAGGATGTGGGTGGGGGGTGGGGGAGGGGAGTGTGTGTGTGTGTGTGTGTGCGAGAGAAAGAGAGAGAGAGAGAGAGAGAGTGAGAGAGATAGAGAGAGAGAGAGAGAGGGAGAGGGGGGGGGGGAGAAGGGTGGGAGGGGGGCTGGTGGTGGGGACGGGCTGATGGTGGTAAGAGGGCAGCAGGGATGGGAGAAGGGAGCGTAACGAGGGGAAAGCAAAGGGCAGGGGGGGAGAAACCAAGCATAGGGGGGCGAGAAACGAGGGGCAGGGTGCGGATTGAGGAGGGGCAGGGAGTGGAGTGGGTTAGCGAGGGGAAGGAAGAGGCGTGCAGCAGAGGAGGGGAGGGGGGAGGCGAAGGTAAACGAGGGGAGGGCACGGGCGGGGAGGAGCGAATGGCGAGCGGTGGGTAACGGCGAGGGGGCAGGGAGGGTCAAAAGAGGCGGCGAGGGAGCGGGCACGCGGAGGGTAGGGGCGGGGGGGAGCGGATGGCATGAGGGGGCAGGGGGTGTGACTATGAAGGGGGGACCCGGGCAAGGGGTGTGTACCGGTCGGGGCACGGGATTGTCGTGGTACGATCATACCTCGGCTACTACGCCGGATCCCATCAGAACTCCGAAGCTAAGCGCCGGTGGGCGAGAGCAGTACTGGGCTGGGTGACCTCCCGGGAAGTCCTCGTGTTGTACCCATTTATGCCCCTTGCTCGGCACGTGCCGGGGAGGGGCAAGCGGGAAAAACAAAGGACGATTTTAGCGCGTCCGACTTTTTTATTTCCGTTTTTTTTGCCCGAACAACGAGTCAGCGGGGTGGGGGGCCCCCGGGGAGGCTTGCCCGCGCGAAGAAACGCCCCGTGCGCACCACCGTTGGGCGGTTGGAAGCCGCACACGGTCGCGGGGGTGGAGAGCGGAAACGGGCAGCCGGGGGAGGGTGGGGGCGGTTGGACGGGAGTGGGGTGTACGGGGGGCAGGGGAGTTGAGGGGGCAAGGGGAGGGGCAGCAACGGGCAGGGGCTGGGCCAGCTGAGGGCAAGGAAAAGGGGCGGGCAGAGGGTGAGCAGAGGGGCGAGCGATGCAAGGGATGCACCAGAGGGGGGGAATCCAGTTGAACGGAGGTGAGAGGTGAGGGGCGTGCGAGGGGGTGGAACAGGGGCAGGGAGGGGCAGAACGGGAGGATGTGGGTGGGGGGTGGGGGAGGGGAGTGTGTGTGTGTGTGTGTGTGCGAGAGAAAGAGAGAGAGAGAGAGAGAGAGAGAGGGAGAGGGGGGGGGGGGAGAAGGGTGGGAGGGGGGCTGGTGGTGGGGACGGGCTGATGGTGGTAAGAGGGCAGCAGGGATGGGGAGAAGGGAGCGTAACGAGGGGAAAGCAAAGGGCAGGGGGGGAGGAAGGGAGGGGCAGGGAGGGAAGAGGGTGAACGTACAAAGAGGGGAAACGAGGGGCATGGATGGTAGGAAACAAGGGCAGGGGTGCGGGAAATCAAGGGCAGGGAGGGGAGAAGCAATGGGTGCGGGGAGAACAAGGGAGGGGCAGAGGGGGTACAAGGTGATCTCAGGGAGGGAAGAAACGTGGGGCAGGGAGGGGAGAAACCAAAGACAGGGGCATGGGCAGGCGGGGGCAGGGAGGGAGCAAAGGAGAGGCACGGAGAAAGAAAGGGAGGTGCAGGGAGGGGAGAAACCGGGCGTGGGGGGGCGGAAAATGAGGGGCAGGGCGGGGAGGAGGGAGAGGCAGGGAGGGGAGAAGCTGAGCACACGGAGGGGGGAAAGGTGGGGCAGGGAGGTGGGAAGCCAAGGGCAAGTGGAGGAGAGTGGGGGGGCAGGGAGAGGGGGGAGGTGGGGAGCGGAGAAAGGCGGCGAGGGGCAGGGAGGGGAGAAACCAAGCGTAGGGGGGCGAGAAACGAGGGGCAGGGTGCGGATTGAGGAGGGGCAGGGAGTGGAGTGGGTTAGCGAGGGGAAGGAAGAGGCGTGCAGCAGAGGAGGGGAGGGGGGAGGCGAAGGTAAACGAGGGGAGGGCACGGGCGGGGAGGAGCGAATGGCGAGCGGTGGGTAACGGCGAGGGGGGCAGGGAGGGTCAAAAGAGGCGGCGAGGGAGCGGGCACGCGGAGGGTAGGGGCGGGGGGGAGCGGATGGCATGAGGGGGCAGGGGGTGTGACTATGAAGGGGGGACCCGGGCAAGGGGTGTGTACCGGTCGGGGCACGGGATTGTCGTGGTACGATCATACCTCGGCTACTACGCCGGATCCCATCAGAACTCCGAAGCTAAGCGCCGGTGGGCGAGAGCAGTACTGGGCTGGGTGACCTCCCGGGAAGTCCTCGTGTTGTACCCATTTATGCCCCTTGCTCGGCACGTGCCGGGGAGGGGCAAGCGGGAAAAACAAAGGACGATTTTAGCGCGTCCGACTTTTTTATTTCCGTTTTTTTTGCCCGAACAACGAGTCAGCGGGGTGGGGGGCCCCCGGGGAGGCTTGCCCGCGCGAAGAAACGCCCCGTGCGCACCACCGTTGGGCGGTTGGAAGCCGCACACGGTCGCGGGGGTGGAGAGCGGAAACGGGCAGCCGGGGGAGGGTGGGGGCGGTTGGACGGGAGTGGGGTGTACGGGGGGCAGGGGAGTTGAGGGGGCAAGGGGAGGGGCAGCAACGGGCAGGGGCTGGGCCAGCTGAGGGCAAGGAAAAGGGGCGGGCAGAGGGTGAGCAGAGGGGCGAGCGATGCAAGGGATGCACCAGAGGGGGGGAATCCAGTTGAACGGAGGTGAGAGGTGAGGGGCGTGCGAGGGGGTGGAACAGGGGCAGGGAGGGGCAGAACGGGAGGATGTGGGTGGGGGGTGGGGGAGGGGAGTGTGTGTGTGTGTGTGTGTGCGAGAGAAAGAGAGAGAGAGAGAGAGAGAGTGAGAGAGATAGAGAGAGAGAGAGAGAGAGGGAGAGGGGGGGGGGAGAAGGGTGGGAGGGGGGCTGGTGGTGGGGACGGGCTGATGGTGGTAAGAGGGCAGCAGGGATGGGGAGAAGGGAGCGTAACGAGGGGAAAGCAAAGGGCAGGGGGGGAGAAACCAAGCATAGGGGGGCGAGAAACGAGGGGCAGGGTGCGGATTGAGGAGGGGCAGGGAGTGGAGTGGGTTAGCGAGGGGAAGGAAGAGGCGTGCAGCAGAGGAGGGGAGGGGGGAGGCGAAGGTAAACGAGGGGAGGGCACGGGCGGGGAGGAGCGAATGGCGAGCGGTGGGTAACGGCGAGGGGGGCAGGGAGGGTCAAAAGAGGCGGCGAGGGAGCGGGCACGCGGAGGGTAGGGGCGGGGGGAGCGGATGGCATGAGGGGGCAGGGGGTGTGACTATGAAGGGGGGACCCGGGCAAGGGGTGTGTACCGGTCGGGGCACGGGATTGTCGTGGTACGATCATACCTCGGCTACTACGCCGGATCCCATCAGAACTCCGAAGCTAAGCGCCGGTGGGCGAGAGCAGTACTGGGCTGGGTGACCTCCCGGGAAGTCCTCGTGTTGTACCCATTTATGCCCCTTGCTCGGCACGTGCCGGGGAGGGGCAAGCGGGAAAAACAAAGGACGATTTTAGCGCGTCCGACTTTTTTATTTCCGTTTTTTTTGCCCGAACAACGAGTCAGCGGGGTGGGGGGCCCCCGGGGAGGCTTGCCCGCGCGAAGAAACGCCCCGTGCGCACCACCGTTGGGCGGTTGGAAGCCGCACACGGTCGCGGGGGTGGAGAGCGGAAACGGGCAGCCGGGGGAGGGTGGGGGCGGTTGGACGGGAGTGGGGTGTACGGGGGGCAGGGGAGTTGAGGGGGCAAGGGGAGGGGCAGCAACGGGCAGGGGCTGGGCCAGCTGAGGGCAAGGAAAAGGGGCGGGCAGAGGGTGAGCAGAGGGGCGAGCGATGCAAGGGATGCACCAGAGGGGGGGAATCCAGTTGAACGGAGGTGAGAGGTGAGGGGCGTGCGAGGGGGTGGAACAGGGGCAGGGAGGGGCAGAACGGGAGGATGTGGGTGGGGGGTGGGGGAGGGGAGTGTGTGTGTGTGTGTGTGTGCGAGAGAAAGAGAGAGAGAGAGAGAGAGAGAGAGAGGGAGAGGGGGGGGGGGGAGAAGGGTGGGAGGGGGGCTGGTGGTGGGGACGGGCTGATGGTGGTAAGAGGGCAGCAGGGATGGGGAGAAGGGAGCGTAACGAGGGGAAAGCAAAGGGCAGGGGGGGAGGAAGGGAGGGGCAGGGAGGGAAGAGGGTGAACGTACAAAGAGGGGAAACGAGGGGCATGGATGGTAGGAAACAAGGGCAGGGGTGCGGGAAATCAAGGGCAGGGAGGGGAGAAGCAATGGGTGCGGGGAGAACAAGGGAGGGGCAGAGGGGGTACAAGGTGATCTCAGGGAGGGAAGAAACGTGGGGCAGGGAGGGGAGAAACCAAAGACAGGGGCATGGGCAGGCGGGGGCAGGGAGGGAGCAAAGGAGAGGCACGGAGAAAGAAAGGGAGGTGCAGGGAGGGGAGAAACCGGGCGGGGGGGGGCGGAAAATGAGGGGCAGGGCGGGGAGGAGGGAGAGGCAGGGAGGGGAGAAGCTGAGCACACGGAGGGGGGAAAGGTGGGGCAGGGAGGTGGGAAGCCAAGGGCAAGTGGAGGAGAGTGGGGGGGCAGGGAGAGGGGGGAGGTGGGGAGCGGAGAAAGGCGGCGAGGGGCAGGGAGGGGAGAAACCAAGCGTAGGGGGGCGAGAAACGAGGGGCAGGGTGCGGATTGAGGAGGGGCAGGGAGTGGAGTGGGTTAGCGAGGGGAAGGAAGAGGCGTGCAGCAGAGGAGGGGAGGGGGGAGGCGAAGGTAAACGAGGGGAGGGCACGGGCGGGGAGGAGCGAATGGCGAGCGGTGGGTAACGGCGAGGGGGGCAGGGAGGGTCAAAAGAGGCGGCGAGGGAGCGGGCACGCGGAGGGTAGGGGCGGGGGGAGCGGATGGCATGAGGGGGCAGGGGGTGTGACTATGAAGGGGGGACCCGGGCAAGGGGTGTGTACCGGTCGGGGCACGGGATTGTCGTGGTACGATCATACCTCGGCTACTACGCCGGATCCCATCAGAACTCCGAAGCTAAGCGCCGGTGGGCGAGAGCAGTACTGGGCTGGGTGACCTCCCGGGAAGTCCTCGTGTTGTACCCATTTATGCCCCTTGCTCGGCACGTGCCGGGGAGGGGCAAGCGGGAAAAACAAAGGACGATTTTAGCGCGTCCGACTTTTTTATTTCCGTTTTTTTTGCCCGAACAACGAGTCAGCGGGGTGGGGGGCCCCCGGGGAGGCTTGCCCGCGCGAAGAAACGCCCCGTGCGCACCACCGTTGGGCGGTTGGAAGCCGCACACGGTCGCGGGGGTGGAGAGCGGAAACGGGCAGCCGGGGGAGGGTGGGGGCGGTTGGACGGGAGTGGGGTGTACGGGGGGCAGGGGAGTTGAGGGGGCAAGGGGAGGGGCAGCAACGGGCAGGGGCTGGGCCAGCTGAGGGCAAGGAAAAGGGGCGGGCAGAGGGTGAGCAGAGGGGCGAGCGATGCAAGGGATGCACCAGAGGGGGGGAATCCAGTTGAACGGAGGTGAGAGGTGAGGGGCGTGCGAGGGGGTGGAACAGGGGCAGGGAGGGGCAGAACGGGAGGATGTGGGTGGGGGGTGGGGGAGGGGAGTGTGTGTGTGTGTGTGTGTGCGAGAGAAAGAGAGAGAGAGAGGAGAGAGAGAGAGGGAGAGGGGGGGGGGGAGAAGGGTGGGAGGGGGGCTGGTGGTGGGGACGGGCTGATGGTGGTAAGAGGGCAGCAGGGATGGGGAGAAGGGAGCGTAACGAGGGGAAAGCAAAGGGCAGGGGGGGAGGAAGGGAGGGGCAGGGAGGGAAGAGGGTGAACGTACAAAGAGGGGAAACGAGGGGCATGGATGGTAGGAAACAAGGGCAGGGGTGCGGGAAATCAAGGGCAGGGAGGGGAGAAGCAATGGGTGCGGGGAGAACAAGGGAGGGGCAGAGGGGGTACAAGGTGATCTCAGGGAGGGAAGAAACGTGGGGCAGGGAGGGGAGAAACCAAAGACAGGGGCATGGGCAGGCGGGGGCAGGGAGGGAGCAAAGGAGAGGCACGGAGAAAGAAAGGGAGGTGCAGGGAGGGGAGAAACCGGGCGTGGGGGGGCGGAAAATGAGGGGCAGGGCGGGGAGGAGGGAGAGGCAGGGAGGGGAGAAGCTGAGCACACGGAGGGGGGAAAGGTGGGGCAGGGAGGTGGGAAGCCAAGGGCAAGTGGAGGAGAGTGGGGGGGCAGGGAGAGGGGGGAGGTGGGGAGCGGAGAAAGGCGGCGAGGGGCAGGGAGGGGAGAAACCAAGCGTAGGGGGGCGAGAAACGAGGGGCAGGGTGCGGATTGAGGAGGGGCAGGGAGTGGAGTGGGTTAGCGAGGGGAAGGAAGAGGCGTGCAGCAGAGGAGGGGAGGGGGGAGGCGAAGGTAAACGAGGGGAGGGCACGGGCGGGGAGGAGCGAATGGCGAGCGGTGGGTAACGGCGAGGGGGGCAGGGAGGGTCAAAAGAGGCGGCGAGGGAGCGGGCACGCGGAGGGTAGGGGCGGGGGGAGCGGATGGCATGAGGGGGCAGGGGGTGTGACTATGAAGGGGGGACCCGGGCAAGGGGTGTGTACCGGTCGGGGCACGGGATTGTCGTGGTACGATCATACCTCGGCTACTACGCCGGATCCCATCAGAACTCCGAAGCTAAGCGCCGGTGGGCGAGAGCAGTACTGGGCTGGGTGACCTCCCGGGAAGTCCTCGTGTTGTACCCATTTATGCCCCTTGCTCGGCACGTGCCGGGGAGGGGCAAGCGGGAAAAACAAAGGACGATTTTAGCGCGTCCGACTTTTTTATTTCCGTTTTTTTTGCTCCGAACAACGAGTCAGCGGGGTGGGGGGCCCCCGGGGAGGCTTGCCCGCGCGAAGAAACGCCCCGTGCGCACCACCGTTGGGCGGTTGGAAGCCGCACACGGTCGCGGGGGTGGAGAGCGGAAACGGGCAGCCGGGGGAGGGTGGGGGCGGTTGGACGGGAGTGGGGTGTACGGGGGGCAGGGGAGTTGAGGGGGCAAGGGGAGGGGCAGCAACGGGCAGGGGCTGGGCCAGCTGAGGGCAAGGAAAAGGGGCGGGCAGAGGGTGAGCAGAGGGGCGAGCGATGCAAGGGATGCACCAGAGGGGGGGAATCCAGTTGAACGGAGGTGAGAGGTGAGGGGCGTGCGAGGGGGTGGAACAGGGGCAGGGAGGGGCAGAACGGGAGGATGTGGGTGGGGGGTGGGGGAGGGGAGTGTGTGTGTGTGTGTGTGTGCGAGAGAAAGAGAGAGAGAGAGAGAGAGAGAGGGAGAGGGGGGGGGGGAGAAGGGTGGGAGGGGGGCTGGTGGTGGGGACGGGCTGATGGTGGTAAGAGGGCAGCAGGGATGGGGAGAAGGGAGCGTAACGAGGGGAAAGCAAAGGGCAGGGGGGGAGGAAGGGAGGGGCAGGGAGGGAAGAGGGTGAACGTACAAAGAGGGGAAACGAGGGGCATGGATGGTAGGAAACAAGGGCAGGGGTGCGGGAAATCAAGGGCAGGGAGGGGAGAAGCAATGGGTGCGGGGAGAACAAGGGAGGGGCAGAGGGGGTACAAGGTGATCTCAGGGAGGGAAGAAACGTGGGGCAGGGAGGGGAGAAACCAAAGACAGGGGCATGGGCAGGCGGGGGCAGGGAGGGAGCAAAGGAGAGGCACGGAGAAGAAAGGGAGGTGCAGGGAGGGGAGAAACCGGGCGTGGGGGGGGCGGAAAATGAGGGGCAGGGCGGGGAGGAGGGAGAGGCAGGGAGGGGAGAAGCTGAGCACACGGAGGGGGGAAAGGTGGGGCAGGGAGGTGGGAAGCCAAGGGCAAGTGGAGGAGAGTGGGGGGGCAGGGAGAGGGGGGAGGTGGGGAGCGGAGAAAGGCGGCGAGGGGCAGGGAGGGGAGAAACCAAGCGTAGGGGGGCGAGAAACGAGGGGCAGGGTGCGGATTGAGGAGGGGCAGGGAGTGGAGTGGGTTAGCGAGGGGAAGGAAGAGGCGTGCAGCAGAGGAGGGGAGGGGGGAGGCGAAGGTAAACGAGGGGAGGGCACGGGCGGGGAGGAGCGAATGGCGAGCGGTGGGTAACGGCGAGGGGGGCAGGGAGGGTCAAAAGAGGCGGCGAGGGAGCGGGCACGCGGAGGGTAGGGGCGGGGGGAGCGGATGGCATGAGGGGGCAGGGGGTGTGACTATGAAGGGGGGACCCGGGCAAGGGGTGTGTACCGGTCGGGGCACGGGATTGTCGTGGTACGATCATACCTCGGCTACTACGCCGGATCCCATCAGAACTCCGAAGCTAAGCGCCGGTGGGCGAGAGCAGTACTGGGCTGGGTGACCTCCCGGGAAGTCCTCGTGTTGTACCCATTTATGCCCCTTGCTCGGCACGTGCCGGGGAGGGGCAAGCGGGAAAAACAAAGGACGATTTTAGCGCGTCCGACTTTTTTATTTCCGTTTTTTTGCCCGAACAACGAGTCAGCGGGGTGGGGGGCCCCCGGGGAGGCTTGCCCGCGCGAAGAAACGCCCCGTGCGCACCACCGTTGGGCGGTTGGAAGCCGCACACGGTCGCGGGGGTGGAGAGCGGAAACGGGCAGCCGGGGGAGGGTGGGGGCGGTTGGACGGGAGTGGGGTGTACGGGGGGCAGGGGAGTTGAGGGGGCAAGGGGAGGGGCAGCAACGGGCAGGGGCTGGGCCAGCTGAGGGCAAGGAAAAGGGGCGGGCAGAGGGTGAGCAGAGGGGCGAGCGATGCAAGGGATGCACCAGAGGGGGGGAATCCAGTTGAACGGAGGTGAGAGGTGAGGGGCGTGCGAGGGGGTGGAACAGGGGCAGGGAGGGGCAGAACGGGAGGATGTGGGTGGGGGGTGGGGGAGGGGAGTGTGTGTGTGTGTGTGTGTGCGAGAGAAAGAGAGAGAGAGAGAGAGAGAGAGAGAGGGAGAGGGGGGGGGGGGAGAAGGGTGGGAGGGGGGCTGGTGGTGGGGACGGGCTGATGGTGGTAAGAGGGCAGCAGGGATGGGGAGAAGGGAGCGTAACGAGGGGAAAGCAAAGGGCAGGGGGGGAGGAAGGGAGGGGCAGGGAGGGAAGAGGGTGAACGTACAAAGAGGGGAAACGAGGGGCATGGATGGTAGGAAACAAGGGCAGGGGTGCGGGAAATCAAGGGCAGGGAGGGGAGAAGCAATGGGTGCGGGGAGAACAAGGGAGGGGCAGAGGGGGTACAAGGTGATCTCAGGGAGGGAAGAAACGTGGGGCAGGGAGGGGAGAAACCAAAGACAGGGGCATGGGCAGGCGGGGGCAGGGAGGGAGCAAAGGAGAGGCACGGAGAAAGAAAGGGAGGTGCAGGGAGGGGAGAAACCGGGCGTGGGGGGGCGGAAAATGAGGGGCAGGGCGGGGAGGAGGGAGAGGCAGGGAGGGGAGAAGCTGAGCACACGGAGGGGGGAAAGGTGGGGCAGGGAGGTGGGAAGCCAAGGGCAAGTGGAGGAGAGTGGGGGGGCAGGGAGAGGGGGGAGGTGGGGAGCGGAGAAAGGCGGCGAGGGGCAGGGAGGGGAGAAACCAAGCGTAGGGGGGCGAGAAACGAGGGGCAGGGTGCGGATTGAGGAGGGGCAGGGAGTGGAGTGGGTTAGCGAGGGGAAGGAAGAGGCGTGCAGCAGAGGAGGGGAGGGGGGAGGCGAAGGTAAACGAGGGGAGGGCACGGGCGGGGAGGAGCGAATGGCGAGCGGTGGGTAACGGCGAGGGGGGCAGGGAGGGTCAAAAGAGGCGGCGAGGGAGCGGGCACGCGGAGGGTAGGGGCGGGGGGAGCGGATGGCATGAGGGGGCAGGGGGTGTGACTATGAAGGGGGGACCCGGGCAAGGGGTGTGTACCGGTCGGGGCACGGGATTGTCGTGGTACGATCATACCTCGGCTACTACGCCGGATCCCATCAGAACTCCGAAGCTAAGCGCCGGTGGGCGAGAGCAGTACTGGGCTGGGTGACCTCCCGGGAAGTCCTCGTGTTGTACCCATTTATGCCCCTTGCTCGGCACGTGCCGGGGAGGGGCAAGCGGGAAAAACAAAGGACGATTTTAGCGCGTCCGACTTTTTTATTTCCGTTTTTTTGCCCCGAACAACGAGTCAGCGGGGTGGGGGGCCCCCGGGGAGGCTTGCCCGCGCGAAGAAACGCCCCGTGCGCACCACCGTTGGGCGGTTGGAAGCCGCACACGGTCGCGGGGGTGGAGAGCGGAAACGGGCAGCCGGGGGAGGGTGGGGGCGGTTGGACGGGAGTGGGGTGTACGGGGGGCAGGGGAGTTGAGGGGGCAAGGGGAGGGGCAGCAACGGGCAGGGGCTGGGCCAGCTGAGGGCAAGGAAAAGGGGCGGGCAGAGGGTGAGCAGAGGGGCGAGCGATGCAAGGGATGCACCAGAGGGGGGGAATCCAGTTGAACGGAGGTGAGAGGTGAGGGGCGTGCGAGGGGGTGGAACAGGGGCAGGGAGGGGCAGAACGGGAGGATGTGGGTGGGGGGTGGGGGAGGGGAGTGTGTGTGTGTGTGTGTGTGCGAGAGAAAGAGAGAGAGAGAGAGAGAGAGAGGGAGAGGGGGGGGGGGGAGAAGGGTGGGAGGGGGGCTGGTGGTGGGGACGGGCTGATGGTGGTAAGAGGGCAGCAGGGATGGGGAGAAGGGAGCGTAACGAGGGGAAAGCAAAGGGCAGGGGGGGAGGAAGGGAGGGGCAGGGAGGGAAGAGGGTGAACGTACAAAGAGGGGAAACGAGGGGCATGGATGGTAGGAAACAAGGGCAGGGGTGCGGGAAATCAAGGGCAGGGAGGGGAGAAGCAATGGGTGCGGGGAGAACAAGGGAGGGGCAGAGGGGGTACAAGGTGATCTCAGGGAGGGAAGAAACGTGGGGCAGGGAGGGGAGAAACCAAAGACAGGGGCATGGGCAGGCGGGGGCAGGGAGGGAGCAAAGGAGAGGCACGGAGAAAGAAAGGGAGGTGCAGGGAGGGGAGAAACCGGGCGTGGGGGGGCGGAAAATGAGGGGCAGGGCGGGGAGGAGGGAGAGGCAGGGAGGGGAGAAGCTGAGCACACGGAGGGGGGAAAGGTGGGGCAGGGAGGTGGGAAGCCAAGGGCAAGTGGAGGAGAGTGGGGGGGCAGGGAGAGGGGGGAGGTGGGGAGCGGAGAAAGGCGGCGAGGGGCAGGGAGGGGAGAAACCAAGCGTAGGGGGGCGAGAAACGAGGGGCAGGGTGCGGATTGAGGAGGGGCAGGGAGTGGAGTGGGTTAGCGAGGGGAAGGAAGAGGCGTGCAGCAGAGGAGGGGAGGGGGGAGGCGAAGGTAAACGAGGGGAGGGCACGGGCGGGGAGGAGCGAATGGCGAGCGGTGGGTAACGGCGAGGGGGGCAGGGAGGGTCAAAAGAGGCGGCGAGGGAGCGGGCACGCGGAGGGTAGGGGCGGGGGGAGCGGATGGCATGAGGGGGCAGGGGGTGTGACTATGAAGGGGGGACCCGGGCAAGGGGTGTGTACCGGTCGGGGCACGGGATTGTCGTGGTACGATCATACCTCGGCTACTACGCCGGATCCCATCAGAACTCCGAAGCTAAGCGCCGGTGGGCGAGAGCAGTACTGGGCTGGGTGACCTCCCGGGAAGTCCTCGTGTTGTACCCATTTATGCCCCTTGCTCGGCACGTGCCGGGGAGGGGCAAGCGGGAAAAACAAAGGACGATTTTAGCGCGTCCGACTTTTTATTTCCGTTTTTTTTGCCCGAACAACGAGTCAGCGGGGTGGGGGGCCCCCGGGGAGGCTTGCCCGCGCGAAGAAACGCCCCGTGCGCACCACCGTTGGGCGGTTGGAAGCCGCACACGGTCGCGGGGGTGGAGAGCGGAAACGGGCAGCCGGGGGAGGGTGGGGGCGGTTGGACGGGAGTGGGGTGTACGGGGGGCAGGGGAGTTGAGGGGGCAAGGGGAGGGGCAGCAACGGGCAGGGGCTGGGCCAGCTGAGGGCAAGGAAAAGGGGCGGGCAGAGGGTGAGCAGAGGGGCGAGCGATGCAAGGGATGCACCAGAGGGGGGGAATCCAGTTGAACGGAGGTGAGAGGTGAGGGGCGTGCGAGGGGGTGGAACAGGGGCAGGGAGGGGAGAAACGGGAGGATGTGGGTGGGGGGTGGGGGAGGGGAGTGTGTGTGTGTGTGTGTGTGCGAGAGAAAGAGAGAGAGAGAGAGAGAGAGAGGGAGAGGGGGGGGGGGGAGAAGGGTGGGAGGGGGGCTGGTGGTGGGGACGGGCTGATGGTGGTAAGAGGGCAGCAGGGATGGGGAGAAGGGAGCGTAACGAGGGGAAAGCAAAGGGCAGGGGGGGAGGAAGGGAGGGGCAGGGAGGGAAGAGGGTGAACGTACAAAGAGGGGAAACGAGGGGCATGGATGGTAGGAAACAAGGGCAGGGGTGCGGGAAATCAAGGGCAGGGAGGGGAGAAGCAATGGGTGCGGGGAGAACAAGGGAGGGGCAGAGGGGGTACAAGGTGATCTCAGGGAGGGAAGAAACGTGGGGCAGGGAGGGGAGAAACCAAAGACAGGGGCATGGGCAGGCGGGGGCAGGGAGGGAGCAAAGGAGAGGCACGGAGAAAGAAAGGGAGGTGCAGGGAGGGGAGAAACCGGGCGTGGGGGGGCGGAAAATGAGGGGCAGGGCGGGGAGGAGGGAGAGGCAGGGAGGGGAGAAGCTGAGCACACGGAGGGGGGAAAGGTGGGGCAGGGAGGTGGGAAGCCAAGGGCAAGTGGAGGAGAGTGGGGGGGGCAGGGAGAGGGGGGAGGTGGGGAGCGGAGAAAGGCGGCGAGGGGCAGGGAGGGGAGAAACCAAGCGTAGGGGGGCGAGAAACGAGGGGCAGGGTGCGGATTGAGGAGGGGCAGGGAGTGGAGTGGGTTAGCGAGGGGAAGGAAGAGGCGTGCAGCAGAGGAGGGGAGGGGGGAGGCGAAGGTAAACGAGGGGAGGGCACGGGCGGGGAGGAGCGAATGGCGAGCGGTGGGTAACGGCGAGGGGGGCAGGGAGGGTCAAAAGAGGCGGCGAGGGAGCGGGCACGCGGAGGGTAGGGGCGGGGGGAGCGGATGGCATGAGGGGGCAGGGGGTGTGACTATGAAGGGGGGACCCGGGCAAGGGGTGTGTACCGGTCGGGGCACGGGATTGTCGTGGTACGATCATACCTCGGCTACTACGCCGGATCCCATCAGAACTCCGAAGCTAAGCGCCGGTGGGCGAGAGCAGTACTGGGCTGGGTGACCTCCCGGGAAGTCCTCGTGTTGTACCCATTTATGCCCCTTGCTCGGCACGTGCCGGGGAGGGGCAAGCGGGAAAAACAAAGGACGATTTTAGCGCGTCCGACTTTTTTATTTCCGTTTTTTTTGCCCCGAACAACGAGTCAGCGGGGTGGGGGGCCCCCGGGGAGGCTTGCCCGCGCGAAGAAACGCCCCCGTGCGCACCACCGTTGGGCGGTTGGAAGCCGCACACGGTCGCGGGGGTGGAGAGCGGAAACGGGCAGCCGGGGGAGGGTGGGGGCGGTTGGACGGGAGTGGGGTGTACGGGGGGCAGGGGAGTTGAGGGGGCAAGGGGAGGGGCAGCAACGGGCAGGGGCTGGGCCAGCTGAGGGCAAGGAAAAGGGGCGGGCAGAGGGTGAGCAGAGGGGCGAGCGATGCAAGGGATGCACCAGAGGGGGGGAATCCAGTTGAACGGAGGTGAGAGGTGAGGGGCGTGCGAGGGGGTGGAACAGGGGCAGGGAGGGGCAGAACGGGAGGATGTGGGTGGGGGGTGGGGGAGGGGAGTGTGTGTGTGTGTGTGTGTGCGAGAGAAAGAGAGAGAGAGAGAGAGAGAGAGGGGAGAGGGGGGGGGGGAGAAGGGTGGGAGGGGGGCTGGTGGTGGGGACGGGCTGATGGTGGTAAGAGGGCAGCAGGGATGGGGAGAAGGGAGCGTAACGAGGGGAAAGCAAAGGGCAGGGGGGGAGGAAGGGAGGGGCAGGGAGGGAAGAGGGTGAACGTACAAAGAGGGGAAACGAGGGGCATGGATGGTAGGAAACAAGGGCAGGGGTGCGGGAAATCAAGGGCAGGGAGGGGAGAAGCAATGGGTGCGGGGAGAACAAGGGAGGGGCAGAGGGGGTACAAGGTGATCTCAGGGAGGGAAGAAACGTGGGGCAGGGAGGGGAGAAACCAAAGACAGGGGCATGGGCAGGCGGGGGCAGGGAGGGAGCAAAGGAGAGGCACGGAGAAAGAAAGGGAGGTGCAGGGAGGGGAGAAACCGGGCGTGGGGGGCGGAAAATGAGGGGCAGGGCGGGGAGGAGGGAGAGGCAGGGAGGGGAGAAGCTGAGCACACGGAGGGGGGAAAGGTGGGGCAGGGAGGTGGGGAAGCCAAGGGCAAGTGGAGGAGAGTGGGGGGGGCAGGGAGAGGGGGGAGGTGGGGAGCGGAGAAAGGCGGCGAGGGGCAGGGAGGGGAGAAACCAAGCGTAGGGGGGCGAGAAACGAGGGCAGGGTGCGGATTGAGGAGGGGCAGGGAGTGGAGTGGGTTAGCGAGGGGAAGGAAGAGGCGTGCAGCAGAGGAGGGGAGGGGGGAGGCGAAGGTAAACGAGGGGAGGGCACGGGCGGGGAGGAGCGAATGGCGAGCGGTGGGTAACGGCGAGGGGGGCAGGGAGGGTCAAAAGAGGCGGCGAGGGAGCGGGCACGCGGAGGGTAGGGGCGGGGGGAGCGGATGGCATGAGGGGGCAGGGGGTGTGACTATGAAGGGGGGACCCGGGCAAGGGGTGTGTACCGGTCGGGGCACGGGATTGTCGTGGTACGATCATACCTCGGCTACTACGCCGGATCCCATCAGAACTCCGAAGCTAAGCGCCGGTGGGCGAGAGCAGTACTGGGCTGGGTGACCTCCCGGGAAGTCCTCGTGTTGTACCCATTTATGCCCCTTGCTCGGCACGTGCCGGGGAGGGGCAAGCGGGAAAAACAAAGGACGATTTTAGCGCGTCCGACTTTTTTATTTCCGTTTTTTTGCCCGAACAACGAGTCAGCGGGGTGGGGGGGCCCCCGGGGAGGCTTGCCCGCGCGAAGAAACGCCCCGTGCGCACCACCGTTGGGCGGTTGGAAGCCGCACACGGTCGCGGGGGTGGAGAGCGGAAACGGGCAGCCGGGGGAGGGTGGGGGCGGTTGGACGGGAGTGGGGTGTACGGGGGGCAGGGGAGTTGAGGGGGCAAGGGGAGGGGCAGCAACGGGCAGGGGCTGGGCCAGCTGAGGGCAAGGAAAAGGGGCGGGCAGAGGGTGAGCAGAGGGGCGAGCGATGCAAGGGATGCACCAGAGGGGGGGAATCCAGTTGAACGGAGGTGAGAGGTGAGGGGCGTGCGAGGGGGTGGAACAGGGGCAGGGAGGGGCAGAACGGGAGGATGTGGGTGGGGGGTGGGGGAGGGGAGTGTGTGTGTGTGTGTGTGTGCGAGAGAAAGAGAGAGAGAGAGAGAGAGAGTGAGAGAGATAGAGAGAGAGAGAGAGAGAGGGAGAGGGGGGGGGGGGAGAAGGGTGGGAGGGGGGCTGGTGGTGGGGACGGGCTGATGGTGGTAAGAGGGCAGCAGGGATGGGGAGAAGGGAGCGTAACGAGGGGAAAGCAAAGGGCAGGGGGGGAGAAACCAAGCATAGGGGGGCGAGAAACGAGGGGCAGGGTGCGGATTGAGGAGGGGCAGGGAGTGGAGTGGGTTAGCGAGGGGAAGGAAGAGGCGTGCAGCAGAGGAGGGGAGGGGGGAGGCGAAGGTAAACGAGGGGAGGGCACGGGCGGGGAGGAGCGAATGGCGAGCGGTGGGTAACGGCGAGGGGGGCAGGGAGGGTCCAAAAGAGGCGGCGAGGGAGCGGGCACGCGGAGGGTAGGGGCGGGGGGAGCGGATGGCATGAGGGGCAGGGGGTGTGACTATGAAGGGGGGACCCGGGCAAGGGGTTGTGTACCGGTCGGGGCACGGGATTGTCGTGGTACGATCATACCTCGGCTACTACGCCGGATCCCATCAGAACTCCGAAGCTAAGCGCCGGTGGGCTGAGAGCAGTACTGGGCTGGGTGACCTCCCGGGAAGTCATCGTGTGTACCCATTTATGCCCTTGCTCGGCACGTGCCGGGGAGGGGCAAGCGGGAAAAAACAAAGGACGATTTTAGCGCGTCCGACTTTTTATTTCCGTTTTTTTTTGCCCCGAACAACGGAGTCAGCGGGGTGGGGGGCCCCCGGGGAGGCTTGCCCGCGCGAAGAAACGCCCCGTGCGCACCACCGTTGGGCGGTTGGAAGCCGCAACGGTCGCGGGGGGTGGAGAGCGGGAAACGGGCAGCGGGGGAGGGTGGGGGCGGTTGGACGGGAGTGGGGTGTACGTGGGGGCAGGGGAAGTTGAGGGGGCAAAGGGGAGTGGGCAGCAACGGGCAGGGGCTTGGCCAGCTGAGGGCAAGGAAAAGGGGCGGGCAAGAGGGTGAGCAGAGGGGCGAGCGATGCAAGGGATGCACCATGAGGGGGGGAATCCAGTTGAACGGAGGTGAGAGGTGAGGGGCGTGCGAGGGGGTGGAACAGGGGCAGGGAGGGGCAGAACGGGAGGATGTGGGTGGGGGGTGGGGGAGGGGAGTGTGTGTGGTGTGTGTGTGCGGAGAGAAGAGAGAGAGAGAGAGGAGAGAGAGGGAGAGGGGGGGGGGGAGAAGGGTGGGAGGGGGGCTGGTGGTGGGTAGGGACGGGCTGATGGTGGTAAGAGGGCAGCAGGGATGGGGAGAAGGGAGCGTAACGAGGGGAAAGCAAAGGGCAGGGGGGGAGAAGGGAGGGGCAGGGAGGGAAGAGGGTGAACGTACAAAGAGGGGAAACGAGGGGCAGGGATGGTAGGAAACAAGGGCAGGGGTGCGGGAAATCAAGGCAGGGAGGGAGAAAGCAATGGGTGCGGGGAGAAAAGGGAGGGGCAGAGGGGGTACAAGGTGATCTCAGGGAGGGAAGAAACGTTGGGGCAGGGAGGGGAGAAACCAAAGACAGGGGCATGGGCAGGCGGGGGCAGGGAGGGAGCAAAGGAGAGG